AGCAAACACAGCCACTCACCATGTAGCCAGCCTACCACGAGGCATTCCAGGATGGCAAACACCGCTACTCACCATGTATCTTGCCTACCACGGGGCATTCCAGCATAGCAAACACAGCCACTCACCCTATAGCCAGCGTACTACGAGACATTACAGGATGGCAAACACCGCTACTCACCATATAGCCAGCCTACCACGAGACATTCCATGATGACAAACACCGCTACTCACCATGTATCTTGCCTACCACGGGCATTCCAGCATAGCAAACACAGCCACTCACCATATAGCCAGCCTACCACGAGACATTCCAGCATGGCAAACACCGCTACTCACCATGTATCTTGCCTACCACGGGGCATTCCAGCATAGCAAACACAGCCACTCACCCTATAGCCAGCGTACCACGAGACATTACAGGATGGCAAACACCGCTACTCACCATATAGCCAGCCTACCACGAGACATTCCATGATGGCAAACACCGCTACTCACCATGTATCTTGCCTACCACGGGGCATTCCAGCATAGCAAACACAGCCACTCACCATATAGCCAGCCTACCACGAGACATTCCATGATGGCAAACACCGCTACTCACCATATAGCCAGGCTACCACGAGATATTCCAGCATGGCAAACACCGCTACTCACCATGTATCTTGCCTACCACGGGGCATTCCAGCATAGCAAATACAGCCACTCACGAAATAGCCAGCCTACCACGAGACATTCCAGCATGGCAAACACCGCTACTCACCATTTTGCCAGCCTATCACGAGACATTCCATGATGGCAAACACCGCTACTCACCCTATAGCCAGCCTACCACGAGACATTACAGGATGGCAAACACCACTACTCACCATGTACCTTGCCTACCACGATACATTCCAGCATAGCAAACACAGTCACTCAACATATAACAAGCCTACCACGAGACATTCCAGCATGGCAAACAAAGCCACTCACCATATAGCCAGCCTACCACGAGACATTCCAGCATGGCAAACACAGCCACTCAACATATAACAAGCCTACCACGAGACATTCCAGCATAGCAAACACAGCCACTCACCATATGGCCAGCCTATCACGAGACATTCCATGATGGCAAACACCGCTACTCACCATATAACCAGGCTACCACGAGACACTCCAGCATGGCAAACACCGCTACTCGCCATATAGCCAGCCTGCCACGAGACATTCCATGATGGCAAACACCGCTACTCACCATGTACCTTGCCTACCACGATACATTCCAGCATAGCAAACACAGCCACTCAACCTATAACAAGCCTACTACGAGATATTCCAGCATGGCAAACACCGCTACTCACCATATAGCCAGCCTACCACAAGACATTCCAGGATGGCAAACACCGCTACTCGCCATATAGCAAGGCTACCACGAGACACTCCAGCATCGCAAACAGTCACTCACCATAAATCTAGCCAGCCTACCACGAGACATTCCAGGATGGCAAACACCGATACTCACCCTATAGCCAGCCTACCACGAGACATTCCATGATGGCAAACACCGCTACTCACCATACAACCAGCCTACCACGAGACATTCCAGCATGGCAAACACCGCTACTCACCCTATAGCCAGCCTACCACGAGACATTCCATGATGGCAAACACCGCTACTCACCATACAACCAGCCTACCACGAGACATTCCATGATGGCAAACACCGCTACTCACCATACAACCAGCCTACCACGAGACATTCCATGATGGCAAACACCGCTACTCACCATATAGCCAGCCTACCACGAGACATTACAGAATGGCAAACACCGCTACTCACCCTATGGCCAGCCTACCACGAGACATTCCAGCATGGCAAACACCGCTACTCGCCATGTATCTTGCCTACCACGGGGCATTCCAGCATAGCAAACACAGCCACTCACCATGTAGCCAGCCTACCACGAGGCATTCCAGGATGGCAAACACCGCTACTCACCATGTATCTTGCCTACCACGGGGCATTCCAGCATAGCAAACACAGCCACTCACCCTATAGCCAGCGTACTACGAGACATTACAGGATGGCAAACACCGCTACTCACCATATAGCCAGCCTACCACGAGACATTCCAGCATGACAAACACCTCTACTCACCATGTATCTTGCCTACCACGGGGCATTCCAGCATAGCAAACACAGCCACTCACCATATAGCCAGCCTACCACGAGACATTCCAGCATGGCAAACACCGCTACTCACCATGTATCTTGCCTACCACGGGGCATTCCAGCATAGCAAACACAGCCACTCACCCTATAGCCAGCGTACCACGAGACATTACAGGATGGCAAACACCGCTACTCACCATATAGCCAGCCTACCACGAGACATTACAGAATGGCAAACACCGCTACTCACCATGTATCTTGCCTACCACGGGGCATTCCAGCATAGCAAACACAGCCACTCACCATATAGCCAGCCTACCACGAGACATTCCAGCATGGCAAACACCGCTACTCACCATGTATCTTGCCTACCACGGGGCATTCCAGCATAGCAAACACAGCCACTCACCATATAGCCAGCGTACCACGAGACATTACAGGATGGCAAACACCGCTACTCACCATATAGCCAGCCTACCACGAGACATTACAGAATGGCAAACACCGCTACTCACCATATGGCCAGCCTACCACGAGACATTCCAGGATGGCAAACACCGCTACTCACCATATAGCCAGCCTACCACGAGACATTACAGAATGGCAAACATCGCTACTCACCCTATGGCCAGCCTACCACGAGACATTCCAGCATGGCAAACACCGCTACTCACCCTATGGCCAGCCTACCACGAGACATTCCAGCATGGCAAACACCGCTACTCGCCATGTATCTTGCCTACCACGGGGCATTCCAGCATAGCAAACACAGCCACTCACCATATAGCCAGCCTACCACGAGACATTCCAGCATGGCAAACACCGCTACTCACCATGTATCTTGCCTACCACGGGGCATTCCAGCATAGCAAACACAGCCACTCACCCTATAGCCAGCGTACCACGAGACATTACAGGATGGCAAACACCGCTACTCACCATATAGCCAGCCTACCACGAGACATTCCATGATGGCAAACACCGCTACTCACCATGTATCTTGCCTACCACGGGGCATTCCAGCATAGCAAACACAGCCACTCACCATATAGCCAGCCTACCACGAGACATTCCAGCATGGCAAACACCGCTACTCACCATATAGCCAGGCTACCACGAGATATTCCAGCATGGCAAACACCGCTACTCACCATGTATCTTGCCTACCACGGGGCATTCCAGCATAGCAAACACAGCCACTCACCCTATAGCCAGCGTACCACGAGACATTACAGGATGGCAAACACCGCTACTCACCATATAGCCAGCCTACCACGAGACATTCCATGATGGCAAACACCGCTACTCACCATGTATCTTGCCTACCACGGGGCATTCCAGCATAGCAAACACAGCCACTCACCATATAGCCAGCCTACCACGAGACATTCCAGCATGGCAAACACCGCTACTCACCATATAGCCAGGCTACCACGAGATATTCCAGCATGGCAAACACCGCTACTCACCATGTATCTTGCCTACCACGGGGCATTCCAGCATAGCAAATACAGCCACTCACGATATAGCCAGCCTACCACGAGACATTCCATGATGGCAAACACCGCTACTCACCATTTTGCCAGCCTATCACGAGACATTCCATGATGGCAAACACCGCTACTCACCCTATAGCCAGCCTACCACGAGACATTACAGGATGGCAAACACCACTACTCACCATGTACCTTGCCTACCACGATACATTCCAGCATAGCAAACACAGCCACTCAACATATAACAAGCCTACCACGAGACATTCCAGCATGGCAAGCAAAGCCACTCACCATATAGCCAGCCTACCACGAGACATTCCAGCATGGCAAACACAGCCACTCAACATATAACAAGCCTACCACGAGACATTCCAGCATAGCAAACACAGCCACTCACCATATGGCCAGCCTATCACGAGACATTCCATGATGGCAAACACCGCTACTCACCATATAGCCAGGCTACCACGAGACACTCCAGCATGGCAAACACCGCTACTCGCCATATAGCCAGCCTGCCACGAGACTTTCCATGACGGCAAACACAGCTACTCACCATGTACCTTGCCTACCACGATACATTCCAGCATAGCAAACACAGCCACTCAACCTATAACAAGCCTACTACGAGATATTCCAGCATGGCAAACACCGCTACTCACCATATAGCCAGCCTACCACAAGACATTCCAGGATGGCAAACACCGCTACTCGCCATATAGCAAGGCTACCACGAGACACTCCAGCATCGCAAACAGTCACTCACCATAAATCTAGCCTAGCACGAGACATTCCAGGATGGCAAACACCGATACTCACCCTATAGCCAGCCTACCACGAGACATTCCATGATGGCAAACACCGCTACTCACCATACAACCAGCCTACCACGAGACATTCCATGATGGCAAACACCGCTACTCACCCTATAGCCAGCCTACCACGAGACATTCCATGATGGCAAACACCGCTACTCACCATACAACCAGCCTACCACGAGACATTCCATGATGGCAAACACCGCTACTCACCCTATAGCCAGCCTACCACGAGACATTCCATGATGGCAAACACCGATACTCACCCTATAGCCAGCCTACCACGAGACACTCCAGGATGGCAAACACCGATACTCACCCTATAGCCAGCCTACCACGAGACATTCCATGATGGCAAACACCGATACTCACCATACAACCAGCCTACCACGAGACACTCCAGGATGGCAAACACCGCTACTCACCATACAACCAGCCTACCACGAGACACTCCAGGATGGCAAACACCGCTACTCACCATACAACCAGCCTACCACGAAACACTCCAGGATGGCAAACACCGCTACTCACCATACAACCAGCCTACCACGAGACACTCCAGGATGGCAAACACCGCTATGGAGGGGAAGATAACGAACCAGTCAACCAGCGTCAGCACGTAGATCCCACCCTGCAATTGAAATATATCTAGTCATTTCGTCTCCTCCTGAAATTTAAAGTAACACGTGCTTAAAACGCATATCCCACTGAACCAAACTTTGATACTTATATATCGCATCATGTTATGGTGTATGACAAATGGAGGAAAAATGTGAATGTTTTACCTATACTACATTTATAACATCACTGAGCAAAGTATAATTGGTGGGAATACAAGTTAGAATAGCGGTGAAATTTGTATGAATGGATCCCTGAAAATAAGTGACGACGCCAGGTGTTCGTGAAAAGGGTAAGCACTCTCGTACAAGCAAATCAATGATTCATAGCTAATAACATGAGCGAGAAGCGACACCGTTGAGATATGATGATACACATTCCCATTGCAAGGTGTTCTGAGTACCTGTGAGATGTATATGAGACCAAATAGGGAGATGCTGAGGATGACGACGCTTTTTACAGCCCAGGACTGTCGTTTAGTCAAGTTGGGCATTTGGTCTTCTACTGCTGCTACGATGATCTCAATCCCGGGCACCTGTACATGCATAATCTGTTAAGAATACGTGAGTGAACTGGGTTTAAGCGCCGCTTTCAACAGTGTATTCCAGTTATATCATGGCGTGTCGACTTAATGCTGGAGGAAGGACCGAAATGATGCACCCCCAGTCGTTTACACTTTGGTGAAACCCACGAGCACGACAAACCTAGAAACATCATTGGCGTCAACCGGGATTTGAATTCACAATCATAGATTTCTATCGTGCTACGTGGACGCTACTCTGCACAGTGAATTGCAGCGCCTTAGACTCAATGCATATTTAAGTCAAAAGTGAAATAATTGAGTGGCTTAATATAGAAACACCTCACGTGACTATCTGGTGAGGTGTGCTGACAAACCTAAAATCACGTTTGAGTCGAAACTCTAGCCCTTGATAACAGGTTTAACATTGAGTTAAAATGTATATATCGCAAGTATTAAAATCTTGTACATTTAGCAGTGAATCAATATGTACATATCGCAAGTCGTGAAGTGTTGTATATTTACCAGTACGTCAATATGTACAGAATATATTTATAAATGGCGTCATATACATTCACCATAGAGTCAATAGCAAGGGTCATCAAGGTGATAAAGGTCAACACGGACCACAGCTGGGGTAGTGGCAAAGAAGCCAATATTTCAGGATAAACAATGAACGCCAAGTTGAAACCTGCAATGGACGAAGCAATAACACAATTACTGAAGAGGAATCTACAAATACCCAAATACATGTTTCTGATAACAATCTACGTAGAAGTCGCAGTAAGCTGCAATGTATGTT